AATCCGGAGATTGCAACGGCTATATGAACACAGAAAATTACTTAAAGTGGTTAAAAGAGGAACTTATTGCGAATCTCCCAAATAATGCAGTGCTGTCCCCGATAATTAACAAGGCACACGTAACAACAAGTCAAAATGGAGAAAAAAATATTTTAATAAATTTAATGGGAAATCGTGTCGTTGATACGTCGAACTCCTCTTTCGGATCAGACTTTTCTCAAACGACCGAGTGAAGATTTCTAATATTGTGAATTACTTATAAATTTCACTAAAACTATTTCATATATTTCAGTTCTATATAAAATTGCACCCAATAGCAAAAATGTATCATAATTATATGAAATAATTTTAACATAAAATTCCCACACCTAAAAATAAAAAATATTAATTCGAAGTAGAGCATCTTTCGATGAGCGGTTCGCAACTGACGCTTAAGTCAAAACCACCACAACCCGCGATCTCCTCTATTAGAAAATGGTGGGCGCGACTTCGTGGATGGCACTATCTATATCACGAGTTGCTTCTTTAGTTTACATTTACCGCATACATTCAATAATACAAAGAGACATTTTTGGTTATGTCGTGATATTCTATAAGTAAAATTTATCAAAGAACATGCAACGCTCATGCATTTACTCTAGATGCTGCGGGTTGGTGCATTTCATTATTCATTTTTGACCTTACTTTGGGATAGTCAAAAACCATAATTTTTTTTTTTCATGTATTTCCTTAAGGTACAGGATTTAAATGTCAAAATAATAAGTAAATTTAATAGGTATTTAATTATTTATATTCAGAAAAGAATCGATCTCATAATATTTCTAAATCCTTTCTTTTTCATTCTTATGAAGCTTGTTACGCATTTCAAGATAGTTTTAATCTCTCTAAAAGTCGAGATGACGGAGTTATCAGCAATCAAACCCAAATCTGGTCGAAACGACGACGGTCAAAGGTGTGTTATATTATATGCATTAGGGTCGTTAACTCCGCTCAATCGCTACAACTATAATAATATGGAAGTAACTCCGTCTGTCAGTCGGTTACGCTTCTAAGGCTAAACTGCTGCACCGATTTTAACAAAATTTGACATGAAAACTCTTTGATAAGAAATGACGGACACAGGCTACTTTTGCCAGCGATAACTGAGATACACGCGGATGAAGCTATATGCAAAAGCTAATTTTCAATAATTTTATACATCACGTTTTGTAAGGTGAAATTTAAATAGTTAGATTTTTCGAAGTATGGTAAAATGGCAAATAAATAGACATATTTTGATGTATAGACTATAAAAATTGACTTGTATGAATTGGTGTATATTAAGTAATGGATTTTAGCGATTTGTATATAACTTAATTTTGATAAAAATGCATTGGATACAATTATCTTCCTATAAAATTTAAGTGTTATCGTAAATAAAGTTAACAGCTGATGTAACTTAATACTTTGCGTTGCTAACAGATTTTTACATCATTCTTCAAAATGAAATAAACGATAATTTAGGTTTATTAATATGTTAATTCGAGACGAATCCTTGCACCTCTTTAAACAAATCAATCATCACATCGTCATCACATCAACAGCCTATACTAGTCCACTGCTGGACATAGGCCTCTCCTTAGAAAGGAGGTTTTGGCCTACTATACCACGCTGGTATATAACAAATCAATCAACACATCATTAAATTTAATGGTCCAGTATATATTTTGATTAATCGTGTTCCAAAAGTCAATACAATGACAGTTCAAGTGATATAAAATCTTTACTGATGACTGAGATATTTACTGTATGTATAATTTTAATGGATGCTAATACTTCGCCACTTCTGTCGAGGTTAATACTTGTTTTGTAAACGTAGGTAAAATTCTTGTCGAACGAACTCGGTAACAAACTTGTAGACACACTACTACGACTCTTAAAAAAAAGTAATATCCCTAGTCTGAAATAATTTGTCATGATAGACACTGATGCAGGCGAAATAAAGCGAACCATCTTAGGTATGCTTGATCATTGTGCAGTCACCTGGGATAATATAAGTAATTAAATTCTTAAACGTTTCAAGCATATTTTGGTATGGCTTACGTATATTTTCCGCCTCTGCCTTTCTGACGGGATTTTGTACCTGAAAAGGCGGTAGTTATTCCGGTTTTCTAATCTGAGAGCAAAGATCTAGCCAGCAACTATAGACTTATATCGATTCTCCCTTCAATATCAAAAATATTAGAAAAAATATAAATACTAGGTTAGTTAACTACCTAGAACATAATAATTTTCTTTCGCCAGCGCAATATGGTTTTAGATCTAGATTGTCCACAGCTAACGCGGTGCATAACTTAACTAATTTTATTACTAGTGAACTCGGCAAATTTAACCAGACCTTAGGGATCTTTTTAGACCTTGACAGACTTTTCAAATACGAACGGTTCGCCGTCAATACATTTTATGTAAGACCGCACCAATGACAGAACCTATCAAATACGAACGGTTCGCCGACAAAACGTTTTGTATAAGGCCGCATCAATGACTGAACCTTTCAAATACGAACGGTTCGCCGACAAAACGTTTTGTATAAGGCCGCATCAATGACTGAACCTTTCAAATACGAACGGTTCGCCGAAAAAACGTTTTGTATAAGACCGCATCAACGACAGAACCTTTCCAATACGAACGTTTCGTCGGCAGAACGATTCATTCATGAGTGTCGATTCGAAAGAATCTTACACCAAAAAAGAATTCGTAGACAAAGCTTATTAAGCAAGATTTGTCACTACTAGTGATTAAATCTAAAGATTTTACATTTTGAAAGGTTTAATGAAAAACATTTGCAAATGAAAATGACTTATTATTAATAATATCCTACACAACATGGTTTTTACCAAAACAAAGGCATAATAAATCAACCATGATTAACAAAAGCAATTCTAAAGTTCATAGGACACATTATCACACTTCCTTTCCCGGCACTGTATGGTTCACGTGTTTCTTCGTATGCTAACATATTTCCACATCATCATTTTCTGACATGTGTATACGAATGAATTTGAAGAGTCGCAACACTACGGTAAATTTACACTATATTTATGTTTAAAAACAACCTTTGGCCACAACAACAACAACATATTTTCATATATCACACAGTACTAAAACAACATACATTGCTTAGCTATCACGCTGATATTTAAAAAAAAGGACGAAAGTCTGTGCCTCACAATCAGGCTCAAAATTCATTTATACCAATAGGTTATTTTCTATTCTAGGTCCATTTCTATATAATAGACTAAATAGAGAGCTAAGTATTTATAAATTAAATAATGTTAGCTGTAATTCTGAATTTCCGGTCTTAGTGCATTATTTTGACCCACTTATTACTGCTTCATTAACTTCTAGTTGCTTATGTAGGTCATTAAATTGTTATTACTCAATTGTACTTATGTAGATTTATGTTGATAAAAGCGTTTGTAAGCACTTCTTCGCCCGAGACATAGGTTCAAGCTAGTTAGGGCAAACAACAAATGTATTTCATGTCTAAATTAGTGAACCATTTATTATACATTATTGTACTCATTATCTTATTAAATAATATTAATTATTATTACGATAATTCGACCGCCAGGCGATGTTTAGTAGTTATAAATATAATTATATGTAAGTACCTATTGAGGATGTTGGTATTATCAGTTACTAAACTGTAATTACATAGATAAATAAATCGCTTTTATTTAATCAGTACTAGATTTGTTTGAGTACAAAGAGTGGAATTATTGTGATGGTGTTTGGTTTACTAAGAAGTTAGCATAACACAAAAATACAGTGAAATAGAAACTACCGATAATATTCTTACGTAAGTTTTGGGTTGCTAGGGCAACACCTAAAAATATTATTTTTCCGATATATTTTTTAATAATTTACACATAATATTCTATCAAAAATTGATATTCAACAAAACAACGAACGTGGGAATATACCAATTTAGCAAAATCAATTGGTAATCTTATATCATCAACATAATAAAAATCAAAATGTGTTTATCAGACAATTGCCCTATCTTTATTGAATGTACTTATAATCGCTACTGAGGAATTACATTATTTTAACAATATGTAATAATAGCGTAAGCGTTCGGCATGTTATAAAATCACTGTGAACGGTGAAAGACCAGTGATTTATCATTCGATTTTTTCGTACGTAGGTTAGGGTTACTACTCACTCACGCGTTGCTACCAATAAGCTGTTTTCAGACGATGCATAAAGACCCTATTTCGCCTATTTAACAGTAAATCTAGTAATTATTTTATTAAATATAGCTATCATGCCCTACATAATAGTAATTTTTTTTTGTTAAATAGCGTCTAACTTACCTACCTAGCAACCCTAACCTATGTACGCAAAAATCGAATGCAAAATCACAGTTCACAGTTCCTATGTCTAGTACACTCGTACTCCTATTTTATACGAAGCGGAAAGCTTGAACTGTGAGATAAGTTGGATAATCAAAATGTTCTCGCTAGTTATAGTTTTGATAGCCTGATAAGTAACATGTTGGTATTATATTATTTTGTATTTTAGTAGCAGCAGCTAAAGTATTATGTTAAGTATAATACTAAGCTAAACCTTCCTTAGTATTTTGTACTTAAGTCACGATTTATGTATTATCTATTTAGGTAAACGCCAGAATTCAAAACATGCTCCTTTCTTTAAACATTACTGGTTTTACTAAGTTGCCACTTAAGTATACGATTTTTGTGATGATAGTCGATATTTAAATAGTAATGAACTAATTAACTAATAATAGTAAGTAACTAGTAATTAAATATATGAAGATAATTAAAATCTGAGCATAAAATCAAGAATAGATCATGCAAGTGCATCCATCTATCCATCAATAATATCCATGTCTTTAGTTTGAATTCGAAATTAGAATTTCAAAACGTTATTCGAATTTTAAACTAGATAAAAATACACTATTCAGTTTTTGTAAGTAAGGTTTACTCATACATTACCGTCAGACACCGTTTCCTTAGGTTTCGCCAACATAGTACATAAATTCACTAGTCTATGCTCCATTTTAAAAATATTACGTATTTTTAAAAAAATACGTGCACCATATACGTTCGATTTAGAACTAAGTGGGTGAAAAGAATTTGAATCATAATCGCACCGTTATAGATTAGATTGGCTTATCATGTTTTTAGGCGATTGGTTTCGCGTCAATATTAAGTAAAACAGTAGGATTAACGATTGAATATAAAATTATTTTATTATCGAATTTGATTTTTTGAAATCCTAGTTTAAAGTTAATAAGTTTTATTAAATATCTTTAATGGCAAAATAAAAAACCTTGAGATATGTTGCGGGTAACAAATGGAATTGTTGGGAGTTGTCTTTTAAAAAAAAACAAAACAAAAAAAAAATGTCCCACAAAAGAAGTACAGAAAACTGTTAAGGATACCTTAATAATAATAATAATACAATCTACTTGTATATCCCGCGAAAGCTTGGGGGTCGCGGACTATTAAATATCAAGACCCTACATAATCGCGAGATATGCAATCTCAGAGAATATTTTCTACATACCGACGTGGGAGTGCATCGCAATGTAGTTGCAGTGGATACCGGCTTCACCCCGCTCGCTCTGGCTAAAGAGAATTGGCGCAGACCTGTAGTACTTAGTGTTAATGATCGCAGGGAAGTATGGAAGGGCAAAGAGCTCCATGGTCGGTTTTATCGGGCCCTAAACGGGTCTGATATAGATTTAAAAGCATCTACGACTTGGCTACGGTATGGTGATCTCTTCGGAGAAACTGAAGGTTTTGTTTGTGCGATTATGGACGAAGTTATCATGACGAATAACTATCGGAAATATATCCTGAAAGATGGTACGGTTGACATCTGTCGGGCATGTCACCGTCCTAGCGAATCAATCAGGCATATTATTTCTGGTTGTTCTCGTCTTGCTAACGGAGAATATTTGCACAGGCACAACCAAGTAGCCAGGATCGTACACCAACAGCTTGCCCTTAAATACCATCTTGTGAATCTAGAGGTGCCATACTACAGGTATGTGCCCGACCCAGTTCTCGAGAATGGTCGGGCCACGTTGTATTGGGATCGATCTATTATCACAGACAGGACTATTGTTGCCAATAAGCCTGATATTGTGCTGATAGATCGATTAGAGCGCCGCGCAATGATTGTTGATATCGCCGTTCCTCATGACGAGAATCTCGTGAAAGTTGAAAAAGAAAAACAAATTAAATATTTGGATTTATCTCACGAGATTGTCGATATGTGGAATGTTGATTCAGTGATCATTGTTCCGATAGTCGTATCTGCTCACGGATTGATAGCCAAGAGCCTCGACCAACACCTTAAGAGGCTCACGTTGGACGGCTGGATCAAGGGTCTGATGCAGAAGGCAGTCCTCCTTAACACGGCTCGTATAGTGAGGAGGTTCCTATCTTTGGAGTCCTAACCACCGGTGTCTTGGTCCCTGTACCCGATGTCGGTGGTCTACTATTTTTTATATTTTTAAATGTATTTTTTTAAAAATTTTTATAAAGTGTATGTTTAAAAATGTAAATAATATGTATATAAAGTAAATAAAGAGAATAATAATACAATCTCCTAATCCTTTGAAGCAATCACGAAAAGACTTCGCATCTATGAACAGCTGAAATTGACTTAACCATCAATTAGGTAATATATCGAAACCTGCATCCATCGTCATTTAGATTTTATGCTAAATTGCAAAGTATTCAAAATGCGGAAAATTTTCACGCGATTAATTAGGTTTTTGCAACAAGTATGCAACGGACAACGCCAAAAATAAAACCACATAATATATACTACATATCAGAACAAGCACACTGCAAAGAGAAGGAACCTTATACCAATCCGTCTGGCCAGCGTGGTATAGTAGGCCAAAACCTCCTTTCTGAGGAGAGGCCTATGTCCAGCAGTGGACTAGTAAAGGCTGTTGATGATGATGATGATGAACATATCAGAGCCTATGATTTAGCAAAGTTTTGTAAGCCTACATTTATAATTGTTAATTAACAAGTTCAGAAGTTTTTGGCATTGGAACGGACTAAGTCTCATTTTGTAGATATTTTTAATATCTGCAACTTTTATACCATACATTTCTTATTAAAAAGTCGAGGAACATTTAAATTGGCGAAAAAATACGTTCTCGTAACTTTAAACAGCAAATTATGTTACATAATAATGGCACGGTCTCAGCTGGTGCATTTTAGCTTTAGTTATATTATCATGATTTACCGAGAGGAACCGAAATACGTCGAAATATATCGGTTGGCATTTTTTTTTAATTCTTATCTAGTCGACTTCTTTTCCTAGTCTATAAAGTTAAAGGCATATTTCGAAAATTATCAAAGGGTCAGTGAAATAAATGACTTTTATTATGATTACATAAAAAAAATCAATGGAAACTTTGTCTAATAATTTTAAACCCGAGGTTATTCATTAGATACATCTCCTACATACCTGTACTATGTACTCGCCTCTTTTGAAACATGTTTTTGGAATTTGGAATTTGGTACCTGTGATGCAGCATCTATTAAGTCGTCGACTTTTTCAAGACTGTATCGATGTATCAATGTGGCTTAAGCCATATTGATACACAGATACAGTCATAGGTGGCAGGTTTGGGCCTCTGATAAACTCTATCATTCGGTGTTTTATGTATAGTCGTAGTAACACGGCCAGTATTTGCCGAAGCATGGCTGAGCACAGCTGGGCAAAAATCTTGTTTTTGCAACCTTTAAACTAGTTAGTTTCATTCTTGAATAAAGACTAAAATAATAGGAGAAAATACATAGGTGATATCTACACGGACGTGATATCTAAGTGTTAGTACGTATCTCACCCTAGATACGTACTAAGTGTTAGTACGTATCTAGGGTGTATGATAAATGTAAAAATAGTTATATCGGTCTTTATTATATATTGCGATATTTATTTATTAATAATTAGGTACTATTATATCAAACATATTGTACTTATAACACATTTTGACAATTACAGTGTGTACACTACACTATACACTTGTAATATAGTATTATTTACTGGAAGATTTATTGTAGCATTTACTGTTAGATAGATAATACAGAAAAAAAAATATAAATATTTAGACTAGAATTAATGTTTACTTACACTTATCCCATTTATATCCGTGCTACAGAGTAGAACTTCGTAGAAAGCTTCTTTAGATTTTTTTATGGACACAAGTGACCGTGTGTGTGCCGTATAAAGGCTCTACAACCTTACTTAAAGTTTTATTTCAAGCAAACTCAAAATGGCTGATTCGCTAGTAAAAATACGTCAATTTGTTAACGAATTACCATAGGCTAGGTAATCAGATAAAAACATTAATTTGTCATAAGTTTAATTACGAATTACGTTATTTTTTATTTTTCCATTCTGGATTTTTCAAGAGCGCTACACTATCTATATAGATGACATTTTGATATTATCTAAAGTGTGTAACTTACACATAGTGTGTTTCACGACCTTGAAGATACAAAATTCGATCTCTTAGTAGTAGATACGTATTTGTGCTGTTATCATAGTGGTTAATTTATTTACGCATGATACCGATAGCAGTGAAGTATATTGCCAGACACATAACTTTGATGTAGTCATTTACATTATGGCTTGTAATGAACCCCTTCAGGCACCCAATGAAACATACAATTAAGAAGACTACGTCGGTTTCGTCGTAAAGGTCTCTCTTGTTTATAACTTCCACAATTCGACAAACAATTGGGAATAAGATTGCCGGAAACATTTTCGTGACTAAAATGATAAGCATATATATATATATATATATATACATATTTGGTTCTAGTTTCTGAATTTAAATAAACGTATGTATTCATACATTCGTACATGTATATGTACGCTATGTAGTCACGAGTATATGCCACTAGATAGATTTAATGCTCCAAAGTGTGTGAAAAACTTGTTTGTGTCTATGTTGGTGATTTTTCATTAATATTTACAACTGCGTTATGTGTACTTAAATGCAATGAATGTAGTTTTAATGATGGAAATAGGACGATTATTACAGATTGAATGAGATTGAAATCTTTCCCATTTTATTAATTTTTGTACCGTTTTTACTATTATAAATTAATTTATCTTTGTTTTTTGTTTTTATAGGTTTTCATCCAGCAGTGAACGGAAATAGGCTGATAATGATGATTGAATTGATTAAGCTAAAACAATTTAAAATTTATCAAATGTCAGATATATCGTAGACCCCTGGGATAGGGCCTGACTAGGCATGGTGTCAATTCGGGGAGGACCTGAAATAACATGGTCCGGGTCCTCCCAGAGTAGGGCACCTGAGGCCGGCCGTCGGGGTGGTTTTTAGTGGAATCACCACATACTCCTAGCTCCTAGCCCCGAGGAGCAGGAGATCCGAAGGGATTTTCCACCCCGTCAACAAAAAAAAAAAAAAAAAAGATATATCGTAGAAGCCTTAGAGCCGATTCCAACCTATTTTGGGAAAAAGAAGAGAAAGAGAAGAAGTCTGACATGGCGAGGATTAGCCTTGGTACAAAATCACAGTGAACTGTGATTAATCATTCGATATTTTCCTACGTAGATTAGGGTTGCATCTTGCTCACGCGTTGTTGCTAATAAGTTTCGATCAAATAAACTTATTTACTTCATTTGATCGAAGCCAATAAGGTGTTTTCAGACGATGCATAAATACTCAATTTTTCCTATTTTTAATAATTATTATGTAATGAATGGTAGGTACATACTAAAAAAATTACTAGAGTTGCTGTTATGTAGGCAAAACAGGGTCTTTATACATCGTCTGAAAACACCTTATAGGCAACAACGCGTGCTAAATCACAGTTCACTGTGATTTTGTCCCATGACTAGCAAGGATATTAGTCACATGAGGAGATAGTTAAATATCAATAAACAGTGTATATTTGGGCTCATGTCTTTCGAATTCCTCGTAGGTAAGAGATAATACAGCATAAACTTTCACGTGACTATGTGGCGCGGCTTTTACCCCATTCCAGTTC